TATGAATTGATTATCATAAATAAACAAGAGTAATATTTGAATAGACTCTTATAGACATGGAAATAATGTTTGCAATTTATTCTTATTCAAGATCAAAAGCTGAATCATAAGCAGAGAATCAGGTCTAAAATTTGAGAAATTTAGCAGCTTCTAAAAATTTAATTAATAGAATAACATATCAAATATGCAAATATGCAAAATATTGTAAAAAAAAGGTTGACCACTCTAGAAATTTAAAAAAAGTAGTATTATGGTTTGTTGTAATAAAGAATTGCCTAAAGCAAATTTTCTTCGGCTCTTTATATATCTATTATAATTGATGGCTTTTTTCCATTTCTCTGGTTGCTCATTGATTTATGAGATTAATTTATTCTTTTGAACATCTTCTTATTACAATCAGATGTGTAGACAAGAAAACAATTAGCGTTAAGTGATCATTATCATAAAAAAACTTTGTGGCAGTCTAGTAAGACCAATCAGGTTTAAGTTTTTTTCATAGGAATTCATTGTTGGTACAACCTGTTTTCAACACCTGTTTAACACACGATTGGTACAATTAACTTGCAACAATGTGACAACCATGATCATACTGACTAATAATATGTAAGATTTTGCATTATTCTACTTTTCACTAAGCCATACACTTTATTTCACTCCGTTCCTGGTATTAAACTTAAAATTTAATTCGACTTGGATCTAATAGTATATCAATAGTTTATATTAGTTTATAAAACTCTTGTAAGTAATAAATAATTTAAATACTATATAGTTACAGATGTATTTGAATAATATACAATATTGTGAAAATTATATATAAAATCCAGATACATCCGGATTCTAATATTTTAATTTAGAAGGATATTTGGATGGATGTTTTTTGAAACAGATGTTAATCCGGATATCCGAATTGTCATCTGGATCCCAACACTAGTGAACTTCAAGCCTCTCTCTGTGCCCCTAACTTACTAGTACCCTAGCCATAGTGAAAAAAAGTGTCGGGTAAGTGAGATTCTACTTGAACTACCCTATTATGATTAGACGAAATTGATGATCCCTAATAACAATATTATATAACTTTTCTTAACTTTGAAAGAAGATATCTTGATAAATATCTATCTAAAATCAATAAAAAGTTTCTATTTTTAGTTATATGAACCCCAAGAATTAAAATAAAAAAATTTCTATCAGATTTAGATCTGTAGTTATCAATATATCTTCGGTCAAAGTTTGAAAAAATCTTTGCTAGTCTTAAACATTTTGATAATCTCCTAAGTTTTCTCTAAACTTTAAACGAAGATATCTTGGTAACTACTTATTTATAATCTATGAAATTTTTTTCTTTAATTTTATTAATGCAGAAAGTTAAAATAAAAAAAATTTCATTGATTTTAAATAGGTAGTTATCAAGATATCCTGCTCAAAGTTTGGGAAAAATCTTTACTGCAGTTTTTGATATTCGCCTAATTTTTTTAACTTTAAACGAGGATATCTTGATAACTACCTGCTTAAAATTGATGAAGATTTTTTTAATTTAATTCTATGAATGCTGAAAATTAAAAAAAAAAAAAAATCATTGATTTTAAATAGATAGTTATCAAGATATCCTCGCTCTAAGTTTGAAAAACAATTTTTGCCGCAGTCTTTGATAATTGTCTAAATTTTCTCTAAACTTCAAGTGAGAATATCTCTATAACTACCTGCTTAAAATCGATGAATTTTTTATTTTATTTCTATAAATGCTGAGAATTAAAAAAAAAATTCATTGATTTTAATTAGGTAGTTATCGAGATATCCTTGCTCTAAGTTTGGAAAAATCTTTGCCACAGTCTTTGATAATCGCCTAAATTTGCTTTGAACTTCAAACGAGGATATTTCTATAACTACCTATTTAAAATCGATGAAATTTTTTTAATTTAATTCTATAGATGTTAAGAATTAAAAAAAAAAAAATTCATCTATTTAAAACTAGTAGTTATCAAGATATCCTTGTTTGAAGTTAAGAAAAAATTTAGGCGATTATCAAAGACTGCGGCAAAGATTTTTTTCATACTTTGAGTGAGAATATCTTGATAACTACTTATCTATATTTAGACAGAGATAACTGAAGACTGTATGCAGGGTAAGTAACTATCTCTAAAAAGAAAACTTAATATAGATTTTATTATGTCAATTTATAACCAAAGGCCATATGTTTGCAGGGTAAAGTAATGTATAGATTTTATTATGTAATTCATACGTAATCGAAGGTTGTATGCAGGGTAAAGTAACTATCGCCAAAAAGGAAGTTTAATATACTTTTTGTCTTTTATTCAGAAACTTAGAATATATGTACGTATGTACATACATGTGCATTCAGGTAAAATTATTACAAAGTGTAAAATTGAAGTCACAGTAAAAAATGTATTTTGAATTCTTTATTAGGAATGTATATATTAAATTCCCATCGGGTTTGTGAGAACATAATTGTACAATTATGATTATGTAAATATGTAAGCTTGCAAAAAAAAAGAAAAAGGAAATTATAAATAGTGAATATAGTTGAAAAAAATGTATATACATCGTGCTTTTCAACCTCAAGTAAAGATTAAACTTTAATCTGAATTTTAAATAAATATTATTCAGAATCGTCTTATATTTATTTCAATAAATTTCTGCCATCCCATTATAAATTATCTTAATAAAAATGAGTGAAAACAGTTCATCTGACCAAATCTCTGAAACTAAAAAATGTGACAGCTGTCACACAATAAAGAAAATTGAAGTTTTTTGCTGACCTTGTGGTGATAATCCGTTATATGAGTATGTAACCTGTAATATGTGCTCTAAAAGACGTAGTGAAAAAAGAAAACAAACAAACCAAACTGACCTTAATATGACAGTTCCGACTATTAGCACTTCTAGTTCTAGAATTAATAATGCTTCAGACTTTCTCCAAATCAATAATATCCTTGAAAATTATAATTCTGAACCAGTATTAGAAGCTAATTATCTCTTTGATGATGAATTTGCAAACGTGGTAGAAATAACAAAGCATAATGATGATAATACACTTACATACTGCATGGACAAAGTAGAGCAATTCGTTTCTATGCAGTTTCAAAATGCTGAATCATCTGATGAACCTACAAAATTTGTATTCGAAATTGAATTAGATAAAAGGCTTTTAGATAGTATTGCACTTAGCCAAGATCTTAAAACAAATCTATTAGATTTGGAGAGAATCAAAAATAGCTTTGCACAACTTACTAAAATTCTTATATTACCATTAGAATCTGGATCTAAATATTATTGGGAAGTGAGAAAATTATGTATAAACTTTAAAAGAAAAGAATTTGCAGGAAGTACTAAAGATACCTCAATTGTACATTGTGTGAAGACTGAGGCTAGCAAAGATCAGATAATCAGAAGGTAAAAAGGCGAAGTGAAGCTCATGCTGCAATACAACAATTCTCTTGTAAAGGCAAAATTACAATTAATATGAATATAATTCAACAATGCGCAAGTGTACAATATGAGCATTTGTGCTCACATGAACACCCATCATATCGACAAACAGAATTTCCAGAAGAAGCAAAACAATGGATTCAAAGGCATCTTAATTATAATTTACAAAGTTCGGAACTCTACAGGTATCTAATTGAGAATAAATTAATTAACTTAATATATACAAAAGAACAAGTATATTACTAGATATCAATTTATAGTAAACAAACTTATATTACAAACCAAGATAACCAGCTTTTATCATCTAAAGCATATCTTGAACAGCCTGAAATTGCAGCTAAAGGGTTTAAAATTCTTTCTTATTTTGATAATAATTTCATACGTGCTTTAGGATTTTCTACTTCACTGCTTAATCGAATTGGTATAGAAATGATAAATGAGATTGTAGTAGATTCTACATTTAAATCAAATTAAGAACGATTTGAACTGTTTGTTGTAAATGCTAATTGTAATAGATATGGCATGCCACTTAGATATTTATACTGTATTTATTAATATCAGACAATCGTGAAGTAGATCATTATCCTAAAGATGAAGTTATTACCCGTGCACAAGTTCTTAAAAGATTCTTTATTAGCCTTCGCGAAGAAGAATTACTACCTTTGTTTATACTATTGGATAAAGATATTGGTCAAATTTTAGCTGTTAGTGTAGCTTGGTTAAAAACAAACATTCAGTTATGCTATTAGCATTTGGAACATGCTATTAGAAGATGTTTGAAAGACAAAAAACCACGATCAAATACTTATACTAATACAAGAGCATTAGAAGCTCATCAACAGTTCAATTTCATAGACCCATTGTGGATTCTAACTAGTAGTATTAAAAGTTTATATCCTGAAGAAGCATTCAATGAAATTATTAGTATAATTAAATGGCATGCAAATATGCATCTATTAATTCTAATAGAAAAAAATGTTTTATAGAATTTGGCACAGATATATTACCATTGCATCCAAGAGATTTATTTTTTTGTTATAATTGTGGGTATTGTGAATTGTGGGGTACTTTTGGTTAAATTGGTATAATAAGAAAGATTGGATGATGTTTGCTCGCTCTTCTTATTCACTTGCAATGCCTTTAGCCTGAACTACCATGATTACGGAAAGTTATTGGCAAGTACTTTAGTACAAGTATAAATATAACTATAATAGGCCTCAGCTTGACCGCCTTACTAATATTCTTGTTGAACAACTAGTGCCAGACTTCGACCTGATGTTGACCTACTATAACATAAATCAGCATTTTTTATCTTGATGGCAGGCCTTTAAAAAAGATTAGAATAAGACTATATCTGCAAATATCATACTTAATATGAACGAAAGATATCAAGTGGACTTAGATAATTGGGTATATTCTTTCCCAGCATATATAAATAGCTGTTATCTTCTTTGCAAGCATTTAGTTGCAAAGAAGGGAAAAGATTTTTGGCCTACCTTTAATGAAACAACAAGACGGCATGATTATCTATTTATTTTTTTGGTAAAAATAAGCCTCCAGCAATTTTTCAACAAAACAATCCATAGAAAATAGCTAGGACAGTTATTCCAGAAGCAAATTCTGATCTTAAGAATCCTGTTGCAGAGGGTAGTTATTCAAGTGACTTACGAAATACATCAATAATAGCACAGGAAAATAAAATAGAAGAGAGGCAAGAAAATATATATACTATAAAAAAAAATTTGAGAAGGCATTAGAATTGTATGAGAAAGAAATAAATAATGACAACTTTATAAAAAATTTTGATACTTTAGTAGGACTATTTGTAAAAGCAGTTAATGAATGCGAAGAAGCTTTACAGGCCCATAGACAGCAAGGCACTCAAAAATCAAACAATAAAAAACTTGACTTTTGGCTACGTTAGTTGATAAAATAATAATATATCCAACTTTATTACTGTAAATGCTTTATACTTATCTATTTCAATCCCAATTCCTAAATAATAACAATAACCAACTTGATTTATTCTGTTTGGGTTATTCATCTCTGCAGATTTTTGATAATGAATGAATGCTTTATCCTCATCTTTTTCAACCACAATTCCATGTTATCAATCAGGTTAGCGTACATTAGATTATATATATTAGTATCTTAAGTAAACTAAAAATAAAAAATAAAAGTATATATATATTAAATCATTACCATCAACCAAATTGACATGAATAAATTTAATATGAATAGATTATTTTAAGATAAATGAATGTTGTTATATTTACCAGATATATCAATAATCGAAGAGAAAATTAATAAGTTGATAATTAGATTATTACAAACTACCAATAAATAAATAAATATTATATTTACCAAATAAATAAATTTGAGAAGGAAACATAATCTATCAGCCAAATTAGCATACAGTAAGTAAAAGAAATTAGATTATTTTAAGTACCTTGATCATTAAATATACTGGCAAAACAACTTGAATAAAAGACTAAGAGGTAATTTATTGTCTATATTAGCATAAGTAAGATTTTTTTTTTTTTTTTTTTCTCTCTTGCAATGTTGCGAACAGGCGAATTTTTATTAGGAATTTATGTAGTACATTTACCACCACCTATAATTACGCCAGCCCATAATATCGTGCTGCTATATTTAAAGACCACCCAGATCGATATATGCTATACTACTTGTGCCCTAATTCTATAGATAACCCAGTAGGGTTCTCATACTTACCGGGTTACTCTAGGGAGGGTGTAGTATATACCTCCCTAATCTTTCTATGTCCTACACATTTCCAAACTAGGCCTTTTCAGTAACTTACACCAAGTTCGAGAACAAGTACTTGCGAGCCGAAGTGCTACAGTTATCTACTACTTCCCTTGTAGAGTTCACCCAAACCTGGTACCTACTTTATGGACTCCTTCCCATACCTCCGGAAACCCAAACTTCCAATCCTACAGCCCGGAAGGGCGGACCCTTCCTCTATTTTTCCCCGTTGGCCTGGTTGGTATAATGCTTTTGCCAAACACCTCGGTCCTGTCCGGTTTTCCAGTATCTAGTTAATTATCCTTTATATAGTAACCATTGAAAATCTGTGCTACCTCTCTACTCGGGTCTTGCCAAGCAGGCTTCTGTATCCTGTAAATTCGCTGTATTTATCCAGTAGTTTCACTCGGATTTCGTGTAATGTATATATCACACTACATGCTCCACTACCTCCCAGTACAAGCTGGTATGATCACCATTACAGATTCTACAACCCAATAGGATACAGTCTTCCAAATGCATTTTCTATAATTCGAATTTTCGTCGCTGGTGAGATTCGAACTCTAGTCCTGCTGCTTGGAGGTGCGACAACTTGCCAACTTTACTAAGTCACCACATCCCTTAAGTAAGAAATTAAATTAATAAATTATTGAAATAGCTTAACAAATAAAACGTATACATATAGTACTTGCCGTTGAAAAAGAAATAAAAGTAGTTGAATATTTAGATAGTAAATAGTTGTTATTATCATAACTAAAATAAAGAAATATATAAATATTATTTTATTTACAATTAATATAAATAAAATAGTTGGTGAAACAAAGGGTTATATGTAATAAAAAGAGTTTTTTTGCATTAGCGTTAGTGTAAGAAAAATTGTTAAATAGTGGTTAACTTTGATTGGCTAGTCAGTGCAGATCATCATGTGGTTCGAGTAGAATCTTACTTACATGACACTTTTTTTCACCATGGCTAGGGTACTACTAACTTACTAGAGATTATCCTTTGGTCATGGGTTAGTGCCACACACTGTATCAAAGTTAGCTTTCCTTTTTCCAACATAAAGTACAA